CGAAGCATATAAACTTATATCTGTTGACTTGGATATGGCCCTTTGCAAGGTTAGGTTTGTGCTTGCTTACAGATCTCCTTCATGCTCAACAGCCGCATTTGAGCAGTTGTTAAAAGCAATTGGAGATTTGGTAGCCGGTATCAATACGTTTCTTGTACTCGGTGATTTTAACCTCCCTGATATTCCGTGGACTGATGTGTCCTATCCAAACCCCCCCCTGGGTCACTTGCACGTCGCTTCTTGGAAATGTGTGATTGTCTTAAACTATACCAAGTTGTCTCTGAAGGCACTCATGGCTCAAATATACTTGATTTGGTGTTAACGAACAATAAGGAGGTTGTGAAAGACGTTGTCATACGGGCACCAATTGGAAGTAGTGATCACGCCTCCGTTTTATTCAAACTTGATCTCAAGATTGAAGAGGTTGTGAAATTATCACTCCGGAGGGATTTCAAAAAGGCGAATTTCAATGATATCTTGACTTATCTTAGTAATGTTGATTGGTACGGATCCTTGAGCAACGTGGAAACGGTGAATGACAAATATGAGTTGTTTTTGCACATTCTTCATCATTCCATTGATTTATTTGTTCCAGTCGTTACCCATCAAGCTAATCATGAGCATCTACCTCAACATTTGGAAAGACTGAGTCGCAAAAAGAATTCACTGTGGAAAAAAGCAGTAGTTAGTGACAGTCCGGCCGCCTGGGAAGCTTACAAAAGAATAAGTTGTATATTTGAGAAACGACTGTATAAATTCCGTAGTCAAGTTGAAAAGAAAATTATCTATTCTAGGAATAAGAATAATCTGTATAGATTTCTCAGTACTAGGCTTGGCAAGAAAAAGGCACTGGGGATCCTCCTTGATGAAAATGGTGTCGTGATAACCAGTGAGAAGGAGAAAGCAGAACTTTTTGCTGCTGTGTTCCATAAAGTGTACCTAGAGAGTGATGGTATCGCGGAGTCAGATGTCACTCCTGTATTCCCTGTTATGAAAGATTCTATTTGGTTTCATAGCGATGAAATCTACAAACTGTTAGTTAGCTGGCCAAAATCACGGTCGATTACACCTGACCACATTCCTCTTGATTTTCTCAAAAAGGTGGCACATATAATTGCGGGACCGCTTGCATTCCTTTTTAATCTGAGTTTCATGCGAGCTGAGGTACCCATGAGATGGAGGCTGTCCTTCGTAACTCCAATTCCCAAAAAAGAACCGCATACATGTCCTCGTAACTACAGGCCAGTAAGCATAACATCGGTTTTTGCTAGGCTATTTGAAAAACTATTGAAGAAAAGGATTGTGAGACATTTAGATGAATTTGGCGTTATCTCGGAACATCAACATGGTTTTCAGAAGGGAAAATCGACTGTAGCAAGCTCCAAGTTGAACGACTGGACATGTC